GAGTCCGCCATGTTGAGCCGCCATTTTTCTACAGTTAGCCTGGAACAGACAAACAAGCAAAACAAGCCTACCGTACTTTCTCCTACATACTTCACAGCCCATACTCATTCCAACAAACTTCACTGATAGAGGCGACAAACCTTACACATTGGTCCCACACAAAAGAGTGGTATCAGTCTTCTCTGATAACTCTGGGCAAAAAGGCGAATAAGTATATTTCCAAAAATCTCAAACTGTTACTTGTTTTTTTTGTCTTACAGATGGATGAGAGTGTGGCCCAAGGGCAAAGCCAGGTTCAGTCCAGCCAACCAAAAGAGCTGATTGACTCTGATCCCCCTGAGAGCAGCACACTTACTGTCCAGGAGTTTAGGTAAAATAAAGAGACGCACACGGACAATTGTTTACAAGCCAAGCTGCTTTTATTAATATAGACTAAAATCACAAACTTGCCACTGAAGGTTTTACAGTCTGTACATCATACGACACCCTTCACCCTTAGACCCTCAATTCAGGGAAAGGGAGAAAAAACATCACCAATAAAAAACCCTTTAGCAGGAAACAGTGAGTTTTTGTTCTCTTTGGCTGTCTCTGTTTTTCTCTGTCCTAAGAGAGTCTTTTGTGTATATGCATGTATGTATAGGGCAGCCCTGAGGACAGCGTTCCCTCTGAAGTCAGACCAGGAAATAGATGAACTTGTGGCCTCGGCCCAAAGCGAACCAGACAGCAGCAATGACGCCATCTCTTCTCAGAGACTCCACAGCCTGGTACGTACCAGCAGAGGTTTCACTGTAATTTACAAAATGTTGTATTCTAAGATCTTTGTCTTCTCATTTGGTGAACATTGAATTCAACTTTAATATTTAATCTCTTAGTGAAGCAATGTGAACTATTTTTAATGTATTTACAGGCAATAAAATCTGAGTTTGACTGGCCTTCTGCTCACTTTTTTACGATTTTGCTCTCTGGACTTTAATGCTCCCACAGCTTGCAGAATCCGGTGTGGCACCCTTACCTCCAGCTCCTGACCAATCAGAAGAAAATGCTGCATCAAATCCCTTTCCGGCCAACGACTGATATGATGTTGTAATATTAATTATATATATTGAGAAGGCCAACTTGCCGACCTAGGTACATCTGAAAAAAAAAAAAAGATGTATAAACCTTAATTCTGGAGTCACAGATTGATCATGCATTTTAAACAGTTCCTGACATTTAACCAACTGCAAATGTATGTATTTGTATTATCATTGTCTGCAATTCACCTCCATTGTGATGGGAGTTACAGTAGTAAGATGTCTTAGCCACACAGAGCTCAAAATCTGGATGGGGAATCAATTTTCTATTGACAGTCAATTATTTGTGATTTGAGTGAACTGACTCTATAATGTTATATAAGTACCATGTGTGCCTTGTAGAATGGTTTATATTATCCTGGCAAATGCAACTTATCAAAATATAAATAAATCACTATAGATTTATAGTGTTCATTCAGATAGCTTTTTATTAGTATGTGTCTTGCACTCTTAAGCTATTCATTACAACTTCAAAATTCAATACATTTGTCATTTTTCACGAAATTAGGTGTTGGGACTGTATCTGCAAGTAGAAAGTAAAGGGAACCAGCCAGCCTCAAAGCCCTTGAAATACATGGTCTGGAGAAAGAGATTAATGAATGTGCTGTTGACGATAAAGTAACCACCCCAGATAAGCCCCTTTTAGACGTGGACAGTAATCTGTAAAAGCCAATTTTACTGTATGTGTTGACGTCTTGTTTGAAAATGTCCACAAGTCAATTTGCCAGAACCCACAGGGGCGGATCTAGAGGGGTGGTATGGGGTGGCAGTGGCCACCCCTAACAAATGCATGGCCACCCCAGTTTGGTGTCAAATGCTGTCAAGTTTACCACAATCATTTATATTACAAAAATTTAAATAAAAAACAGAAATGAACAGATCATTTAATAATTGTTATGGCCACATTTTTGACTCAGTGACTTAAGTTCAATTAAAAATAGACATGTATTTGGGAAATGTCTGAAAATAAAGGTTTATTGATTTCCAATGCCACCTTCAGACATTTCTATGTAAGCTTTACTATGTGCCACAATAATGTAATATTTTTTAGTTCAAATATCTTCATTTTTCGAAGCAAATACATATGATTGTTTATGATTATATCAGGATATATTTCTGCCACGCCTTAAAGTCCCCTTTTCACCCTCTTGCCATCCAATGAATTTTTCAAAGGTCAGCAACCCCATCCGTCTACAACTCCCCTGCGGCAAGCGCATTCACCCTACTTTCCACATCTCTCAGCTCAAGCTGGTTAAGGAAAGTCTTCTGGGCAGATTGTCTTTTGTGGTGTGAGAGTCCTGCACTTTGTACACCTGCCATCCACCCTAACCTCAAAATGGATTAATGCATGTAATTAGCTAGTAGTCCATGGAGTCTGCCAGGCTTTTACAGTCGCCCAGAAGGGACAAACCAAACACTGGCTGTAAATAGGGGCGTAACAAAAATGCAACTATATGGGCCACACGCTAGATGCCACTAAATCCTACACACTGGACAAGTCAAATGTAGGTTTGGGAGGGAATGATAAATTAAATATAATTTACACAGAATGAGCTGGTTTTGGAGGATATGTTTTTACAGTTTTACTCATTGCTATAGATCAATGTGTGAGAAAGGAGTATGTTTTCTCTCTGAGTAACTGTCAGGCTGAAAACTAGGTACCAGGTACTATCCATAATGGAAAACCAAAAAAGAGTGAGTGGTGGAAATGCAGCTAATGTTTACCAGCTATAACTTTGTCTGCTGTTTGGGGCTGAGCAGGTAGCTCATAGTGGGTTTATTAGAGCCTTTTTTAACTGACAACACTGCCTGCTGCTGCTAGAAATGCAAAAATGCTCATGAGAGCACTGAGCCAAATCAGTAAAGCTGCAGGCCCGAAAACCAAAACAATGAGCTAAATACACTAAAAATACTCTGAGGAGAACTGCCGAATCAGTTGATGAATTCGATTGAAAAACTTGTCACTACCTTACACATAATCAGATCCATTGGTAATGTAATAATATGAATTAAAGTAGCTTTAATGATGTTTAAAATGTAAGTTTTGCAGGTATGTGGTCAAAAAAAAAGTTTGACAAATTGTAATTATGACCTGATAATGCCACAAAATGGAAAGTCTGGGGGTCACAAAAGTTATCACATTTCATTCATGGGGAACGTGAATGTCTGTATTAAATCTAATATTTGTTGAGATATTTAAGTGTGAACCAAACTTGTGGACCAGCTGACTGACCAACATTGCCATCTGTAAAGCAGTAAGTCAAAAAGCAGTCAATGCCTTATTTTCTTAGACTGAGCAGCATCTTGTAAAACCATATGAATAATAATAATATGTGATGTAGTATAAAAATACTCATTACCAGGGTAAATCCTGCATTCAAATCGTTGTTTACTATTCTCAGCAAAATGTACTACAAAAGTCAACTTAGTAATTATACCAAATAACTATATATATGGTTACATTTTCAAGGTTCTTACTTCATTAAATTATAATCAATGATGCATTAACATATAAGCAGAATTTCCCCCCTTTTAGTTTTCAATAGGGACTATTTTATTCAGTAGAAAGTAGTTCTGTTGATAGTGTGCTGCGATCCCAAAAAATGTTTTGGAACTTTGGAAACAGGAGGGAGTAGAAATCTCAGACACAGATAGTGTATTCTAGGTGAACAGATCCTTTAAATGTTGTAGCTAATTTGGCTAATTTAACTACTTGATATACTGTTGGGAAATTTATTCTACACCAGTGCATCATACTTTATAAGCTGGTTACATGTTTTTCATGAAAAAGTCTTCATGCGTTATAAAATGTAAATCATGTGAGGGTTCTTTACAATGTTCAACAGGGCAGGGGAATATAGTTAATAGCTCATAGGATAATCAAACTGATGTTCAATTAAACTCCCTTTAACCTATTTTGTTTTCACAAGCCATACAAACAAAACAACTGTTGAAAATTGTTCAAACACAAACAGACTACAATCCCCACAATCCACCGGGCCGGTGACCGTTTTGAGTGCGTGCCCTCGTAGGGGAGCAGACACTGCACTGTGCGATCGTGCAGCCGGCCTCGGCGTTGGTTAGAGGTAAGTTTTTATTACTTATTTTTAGGAAACCCTCTTATAGAATAGTGAATGGAAACATGTGCGGAAACAAAAAGCGCTGGGTTGGTGTGACATTTGAACAAGTATACGGTAATATAAGTAGTTCAATGGGCTGCTCCTGTCCGGCTTTGGGCTATCGTCGGGCACGCCTATGTGGGGTAGCGTTAGTTAGCTGCTCCGGGGCTCTGGAGCTGTGTGCGCGGGCCCGGAGGAGGCATCAGCACTAGGTGGAGACGGGATATTTTTAGCAACCGGTGAGAAGGCCAACGCCAGCCAGCCAGCTAGCCAACGCCGTGAAACACAATTTATCTGACGTCTAACATTAGCTGTCGGGGAGGCATGCTAGGTATATGAAGTGTCTTTGCCAACACGGGCTAAGTCAACGTTAGCAAACAAGACAGCTCACAAGCTAACGTTAGTAGCAGCTAGTTAGCTTACATTAACTAGCCATATATAAGCTTTTCTCTTTATTAACACTACTGAGCAAGCTTATTTCGCTCTCCTTCTAGCCGTAACTATATTCACGCAGGTCTAGAACTATTTATGTCCCGTCGGCATTTAAGCTATGTTGTTTCGACTTCGCCGCTAATTTTCGCAGCTCTCGGATTGTTCCAGTAACAACAGTGTATCGTTATGTGGAAGCACATGACTTGTGCTGTCAGTGTCACCCAAGCGGAGAGACGGCGTGTTCAGCAAAAACTCGTCTGGTATTTCAAATGTTTTCTCTTGCACTGTGGTGATATAAGTACATTCTTTATTGCACGGTGAGTTTGGTTGTGTTTTTTTGTTGTTGTTTTTGTTTTGTTTTTAGCATGTAGGGGCGTGAATTTTTACGTAAAGTTAGGGAACTAAGTGAGTATATTTATGTTTGAAGCGGCGGATCCGGATGCATGTCTCAGCGTCTTTGGCACTTTTTGTTGTCTGTATGATGTGGGGCTATATACAGGAAATAATAAAACATAAAAATGTCACATGGGAATACATACTCAGCTGGTGAAGATTATAAAGTTCAAATATTGTTTAGACTGCTTTAGAGAGGTGTTTACCCTTGACAGATACCAATTGGATGGAATATATTAGAAACACCTGGCAGGTCTTTAGGCCTTCAGCTGGGATCAGATCTAGCCAGTCATCATTTTCATGTTCTTTAGCCAACCAACCTGTGTTTTGTTTTTTTTTAAATCTTTTCTTTTTGGCTCCCGTTCTGTCTTTCTGACCTCATCATCTGCCATCTCTCCATCCTTCCAGTGTGTGTTGCAGGGTGAGTCAGGATGGTGGACCAGCCTCTGTGGGAGCAGATAGGATCCAGCTTCGTGCAGCACTACTACCAAATGTTTGACTCTGACCGATCACAACTCGGATCCATATATGTGAGTGTGAGAGGACCATGCTTTTGTTCAGTTATGAGGCTACTTGCCACAGGGCTGGGCTGCACCTGTGCATTAACTGTCTAAGAATGCAAAACCGAGCCTGCTTAAATAGGAGTGAGGCCTGTTTTTTAATTGTTCCCATAACTTTTCAAGCCAAATCAGTTGCCAAATATTCTCGTTCCAGCTTCTCAATTGTGAGGATTTGCCTAAAGACTACTAACTACTGCCTAAAGAGAGTAAAAAATGCGTGAACATAATCAACTGGTACAAGACATGTAAAAAGACACAGATGAAGGCTCTGCAGACTTCGCCTGAACCAAGAGGAGTATTCCAACTGTGATAACACGTCTGAGAAGTTGTTTATACAGAGCTTACATGTTAAAACAGTTTTACGACGAGTCGAGGCGGAGCTGTCTCTCCAACTACACTTGTACACGTGTAGGCTTATATAGTGCCCGGTCAGGTCCGGAAGAATTGTATCCCCGGTACCTACCCTACAGTTAGGGATGAGACGATGTACAATATAATCGAGATAAATAACACTCTTTTTTTTATTTATCCTGGTAAATTTCCATTATCGTATTCGAATATCCTCACATGGCTTGACTTGAAGAAGCTGTCTAGCTCGCCAGCATACAGTCTATATTGATTTATTTTGAACAAGGGGCGAGGGGGAGACCACATCTTTCCAGTCATTCCAAAATCCTACGCCCGTCACTGTTGCTGATGGCTCGGCTCGTCCGTTGTATCCCCTCAAAAAAAAGTTCAACTGAGTGT